AATAAGTAAATACACCACATGAAGCAGAAGTAAAGAAAGCTGGAGACAAATTCTAGACGATCACAAGGTTACAGAAATATGTAATAAGAAAAGATGCATGGGTCGTACGTAGGATGTGGCGACCGGTTTTTGGAATCCCCGCTTTCCACGTCAGACAGAAGGCCCATGGTGCTACAATATCTGCAGTAACATTATGACTAAATATACTTTGGGGAAAATTTTAGCAAAATAACTTCACAAGATCTAAGATATTTCATTGGATCACAGCTGGATAATGACTGTTATCTCACTTAACACTCTTTTTGTTTCTTCCATGTTTCCATAAACAAATCTACATAATTAACAAAGATAAAGTCAAGTTTATGATCTGATTTAAAACAATAACACTCTTTTCCTCTCTCTCATTCACAGTTCAGAATTTACAACTGGAATCATACACTTCAATCTTTTGATATAAGAGTTCTTTATTATAACACTACAAATTTTCTTCTTCCACTGTTCTGAATTTACACAATTTAGTTGTGTGTTTTTTCAAATCTGAATTATATGCATAGCTTTTTCCACACAAATAACAAACATGAGGTTTTGAGTTGGTGTGTGAGTTTATGTGGCCTTCTAACTGATTATAATTAACGCACATCTTGTTGCACATATAACACACGTATTTACCATTTGTTGACTTAGGGGTATTTGCACTAGTTGACTTCGAACAATCGACAAATTGACTATGGCTGTAATTTTGATGCCACATATTTAAGTCTGAAAAATAAGAGAAAACTTGTCTTTATTCTTCAGACTTAACAGTAACATGTAATACAATCTAAAGACATCAAAATCCGAGGCTGAGGTCCCATGGTGAATTACATTTGAATTGACTTTGGATACTACTCCACTTGACATTTCTTAAAATTTGGATGTTAACAATAAGTAGTATTCTTAAAGTTTGGGTAAAATTCTCATTGTTTACAGAACAATTCCTTGATCTACATTAGAAAGAGTTCTGTGCTGATATGTTGCACACTGAAGCACTAATAAAATACTAATTTATGTTCTCTTGTTTCAAGAATTAACCACCTGTTGGTACAAGATCTGAACCTATTTGCTTCTAGTTACTAGAATCTACAGCTAATGATCATTTACCTTGACAATTCAGCTTCATTCTACTGTGTGTATCATTAACCAGTACCTTTACATTTCAACAGAATTTTATGTTCTCGGTAATGAGCTACATACGCAAAACCTTTTCCACATACTTCACAAGTATGGGGCTTCTTATTTTGATGCATGTTTATGTGTCCATCTAGCTGATTTCGACTTGCACAGCCTTTTTGGCAGAATGGACAGGTGTAGCGATAAATTCCTAAATGTGAATTCATGTGACCTTTGTAACCTTGCTCCGTAATAAATTTTTTCTGACAAATGTCACAAAAGAGTTTAGTACGATCACCTGACCCATCAGCTGAATGACCAATATTACCAACACCTGCAACAGAAAAAACGAAGAAAAACCAAATCAGACATGATGACCGACCATAGCTCTTCGTAATCCTGGACAACAATAAATAAACTGACCTTAATGTGTCAGGTTTCAAATGTTAACTACTTCTTAATAGCAGACAGGATATAATTACTCCTTTTGAAAAAAAAACTTTTTCTATAGAAATAAAATATAGCTCAACCCCATTATATTTCATTTTACATGTAAAAATACCATCATCCATAAACGTACATTTCCACGATAGCTGAGATACTAAATACAGAACCATTAATATATTCAAACTTGTACTGTGATTATTGGGACATAACTTATTTTCAGTTGTTTCATTTTCCAATATCATGGCTTTTTTCACTTTTATTCAAAACAAGAGCATCGCTAACGCAGCAATATACGTCCACATTCCTGTTTTGTTTGATATGGTCCAGTTTGCATTGAGGGTCTGTGATATAAAACTGGGTTGTAGGACTGCTATCAGTTTAACATTTCGTTCACATTAACAGAACACCATTTTTATTTTAAAACAAGGTATGCAAAGTTTCAAAAGGATCTGTTAAGAATTGCGGTCTGTAGGCAAAACACAAGACACGCAAACATTAGGCGTGGCTCTGTCCCAAGGGGTTGAGCATGCACCAAAAATAATAATAGAGGTCAGCCTTAGGATTAAGGAATAAATATAAAAAAGTAGCCTTAGGCTATAAGGAATAAGTATAAAAAAGTTTTCAAGATGATCGATTAAGAAATGCGGTCTGCAAGTGACACACAAACATAAAAAAAGAAAATGGGCGTAGCTCTGCCCCTGGGGGTTGGGTATTCACCACAAATAATAGGGATGTTCCTTAGGATAGAAGGAATATGTATGCTAAGTTTCAAGGTGATACGATAAGAAATGCGATCTGTAGATGACAAACAAATAAATAAATATTAGGGATGGGCGTGGCTCTGCCCCTGCCGGTCGGAAATGCACCAAAAACAATAGGGATCATCGTTAGGGTATAAGCAATTCATATGAAAATTTTTCAAGACGATTGATTAAGAATTGTGGCCTGTAGGTGACACACAGACATAAAAAGAAAAGAAAATGGGCGTGGCTCTGCCCCTGGGGGTCGGGCATGCACCCTAAACGATAGGGATGTTCCTTCGGGTACAAAGAATAAGTATGAATAGTTTCAAGATGATACGTTAAGAAATGTGGCCTGTAGACGACAAACAAACAAATACAAAAAATGGGCGTGGCTCTGCCCCTGGGGGTCGGGCATGCACCAAAAACAATAGGGATCATCCTTAGGGTATAAGGAATAAGTATGTAAAGTTTGAAGATGATCACTTAAGAATTGCGCCCTGTAGGCGACACAAAGACACACGAAAAGAAAATGGGAAATGGGCGTGGCTCTGCCCCTGGGGGTTGGGCATGTACCCCAAACGATAGGGATGTTCCTTAGGGTACAAAGAATGTGTATGCAAGATTATAAGTTAAGAAATGTGGCCTGTAGACGACAAACAAACAAATACTAGAAATGGGCGTGGCTCTGCCCCTGGGGGTCGGGCATGCACCAAAAACAATAGGGATCTTCCTTGGGGTATAAGGAATAAGTATACCAAGTTTGAAGAAAATCCAGTAAGAATTGCGCCCTGTAGGCGACACAAAGACACACGAAAAGAAAATGGGCGTGGCTCTGCCCCTAGGGGTTGGGCATGCACCCCAAACGATAGGGATGTTCCTTAGGGTACAAAGAATGTGTATGCAAAGTTTCAAGATTATTAGTTAAGAAATGTGGCCTGTAGACGACAAACAAACAAATACTAGAAATGGGCGTGGCTCTGCCCCGGGGGGTCGGGCATGCACCAAAAACAATAGGGATCTTCCTTGGGGTATAAGGAATAAGTATACCAAGTTTGAAGAAAATCCATGAAGAATTGCGCCCTGTAGGCGAACCACAGACACACACACACACACACACACATACACACATACACACACACACACACACAGACAGGGGCGACGGCATAATACGTTCACATTATGAATGTGGACGTATAACAAAAAAATATTTAACTAGTCATGGTTTCCATGTTTTGCTATCTCCAAGTTATGGATGGTCCATAAACTGCTATGTATTGACACTTGCACCATTACAGCTGACATCCAACACATCGCTGGGAGTACAGATGAGAATTTCTATCCATTTTGGTTTCATCAAAATTATCAAAAAAAGTTACAGGGAAGTACATGTAAATGTGACCAAGAAAAGGATTTGGGCTGATTGATTTAATTTCAGATTTATATATCAAATAACATTGCACATCGATTTGACAATCCACCACATGTCATGACCTGAAATCCTTCATGATAAAATAGTAATCAATACAGAATTTGCAGTCCATTTTATTTTCACCAACATTTAGAACACTTGAAACAGAGAGAGAGAGAGAGAAATGTCCACGACAGAAACTAGGTCATTTCGGGATTAACACATGGTTCAACATTATTTCAAAAAGTCGGTTGTGAGTAGGGGTCTTAGGCAGTGGGAAGAAACTGAAAGACCCGGAAAAAACCCACAAGGTTGGACAGGCGACCCTTCTCCTTGTCACGTACAACCGGGGAATTAAAAACTACGTCAGATGACTCAATGACAGACCTTATGATATAGGGTGCATGTGCTAACCATTCGGCCATCCAATCCCCCTCACTTGAAACATTTCTAATCATTTTTTGCAATAGTACCATCGCTTGTTAAAAGTCTCTAGAATCCAAGGAACTGCATTCTTTGTCAGAGAAAATTGGTCTCCGAAAATAAATGACCATTCACAATAATAATAAATTCACAGAGAACACATAAAAAGTACATTTGATTCTATCAATTACAAACACAATGTTAGTACTTCTTTTTATCAGTTCTTAAAAAAAATCCATCTTTGTAACATTTATTTACTGTTCTTTATACATAAAAACATTGATAAAACTTTTCACACATTTTTCACAATGTTAGTACTTCTTTTATGTCAGTTCTTAAAAGATCCATCTTTGTAACATTTACTATTTTTCCTATTACAGTGTCTTTTATACGTAAAAGCATAGTTAAAACTTTTCCCACATTTTTTACAAGTGTGGGGCTTATTATTTAAATGGGTGTTAACATGTCCTTCGAGCTGGTTTCTACTCGCACAACCCTTTTGGCAAAGCGGACATGTGTAGCGATAAATTCCTAAATGTGTGTTCATGTGATCATTATAACCTTGTATGGTTTTGAAAACCTTCTGACAAACATCACAAGTTAAATTACGATATCCTGAATCATCTGACAGACCAGCAACTGAAAAAATGAAAAAAAAGGAATTGAGCAACTGTAACCTCACGCAATGATAAAATTATTTTCTTTTCCATTCTATTAAGCACTTATAATAATTGCAGGTTATTAATACATATCTTCTCGTCATATTTCAACATGTGGGGGGTTATATAGTCTAATTTAAAAACAAAACAAAAAAATACTTATGAGCTTTTATTTCAAATTTTAAAGTTTAGAAATTTTAAACAAAACATTGTTCAAGAGACAAGGTTGGCTATCTATTTATCAAGCCCAGAAATAACTGAAAACATTTAACACTCCAATTTATTTTTTGTAATTTAACTTAGGTTTTATGATAAAAAAAAAAGGACCCAGCAAACACTAAAATTTCTTTGGCGCCAACAGTGTGATATCTTGTTGGGGGGAAAAACATCACACTGATTCTCATCTTGGCGGTGATCGCACCTCACGCACAATAATTTCTTATCAAAGTTATGGTAAATGGTGATGTTTATTGAAGCATTCATAATACAATGAGTTATTTACAGAAAGCTAAATTCAGTTGCATACATCAAAGGTCTAAACAAACCATCTCACTGATGATATCAGATATCAAAGCATGGATTGTTCATAATAGATTGTCTGCCACTAGCGCTCATATAGAAAACAAAATATTCGGTAACAATTACGATTACCAATTAAAATACAGATGCAACGTCATGACGTACCAATAATACATTAGTTTATACTAGATGAAACATTGGATTCGTGTGACAATTTCATTGAAATGCATGTGGGGGGTAGTGTCTGTATTTTAAGTTGTTTAATGGTCTGGAGTAAGACATAGTATAATGTGCAGTATTAATATATTACTTAATGTCTCGCTCTCAGCCATTAAACCATACAGACAGCCCAAATTATACATGTAGGAACAGAATATCACCAACAAAAATAATCCTTTGCGTGTGCAAGCCTTTAACGTGTTATAAATATCATCCAATCATTAACCCCACTAGTCACCCCAATATAAGCTAAATTCCCCACAAAATAAAGCTCTGAATACTAATAACAGACAATCTGAAGTGTTCATCAGCGACTCATACTCCAATAAGCTTATAGCTATAACTCCCATAAAAACCCACAAAACAAAGTCTTGAATATTCTGATAAGTCAATCAATTCATGTTATCTAAGCACCTTTTTAAAAGTAAAGTAAAAGAGATATCAAGGTAGTTAATAACTGTCAAGTTCAGTAGAAGCAAATATATTGTAATGTGAGTTATCTATGTTATTTACATACCAAAATTTAAAGTTTTTATTTTATTGATAGAACTATATAGATAGAACTCAATGACCGTTGAATACTGCTCGAGTCATTCAATGGTTCAAGAGAGAGTTTCACTGCGCTATCACTCGTGGAATGCGGAAGGGATACACTCAAGTGAACCACTGAATAACCTGGGCGGTATTCAATGGTCACTGAGTTCTGTTTTTATTCTATAACTAATTGCAAATCTCAAAATACACTGTACTATCCAGATTATCAACAACAAAAAAATCACCAAAAACTTTAAAATTCATCATACCTTCTGCAATTTTTTCTTTCTTTTTTACAAAAATTGTCGTTGCCTCGTGGTGACGTCATTACAGTTTGACGTAATTCTGAAAGTGACGTCATTCCAGACAAAAGTAGTGTGTGTCTAAGCCATTGAATACAACCATAGGTTATTCAATGGCTGTATTCAACGGCTGTATTCAATGATATTGGCTCGTATTTGCATGTAGTTATAGAATAAAATGTGTTTTCTATCATCACACATCTATTTATTTTGGTTGATGCTGTGCACAAGGCAGAGAATGCTTACTCTTTTCAAAATGCCTGATACTACTTTCTCATATGAAACACAGTTAGTTTAGTATATTTCCCTGGTGAAACTATAATTTTTTTTTTCATATTCTATTATTTCAATATGGTATTCAAGACCAATGGTGCAATATTACAAGCCACGTCTCGTCGTGGTTAGAGTCCCATCTTCAGATGATAAACATTGTAGACTGTTAAATAATCCTTTAGTTTTAACCAAAGGATAACTAATGTTGTTTGTTATGGTAACATAGATATACAATTAAAGGACAACTAATGTTGTCTGTTATGGTAACATAGAAATACAATTAATAACTTTTATAAAGTGAAAGTCTGCCATGAAGTAAGTCTTGGACATTTAGATCAGTCATGGGTTCTGACAATTATACAAAACGATTGTGTTTATTTAAGACTATGATCGACACTCAAAACAATCTTCCACTCTTGTCCACAATTTACATGTCCAAACCCCTTGTGTCCATTCTAATATATTTTTATAAAACCTAATCAGTCATAAACAATCCCTCTTTGTAACATCTAGTGTTCTTGCTGTTGATGTGCCTTTTATATGCAAAGGCATAGTTGAAACTCTTTCCACAACCTTCACAAGTATAAGGTTTTATATTCTCATGCATGTTTTTATGGCCTATAAGCTGGTTTCGACTTGTACAACCTTTCTGACAATACGGACAAGTATAGCGATAAATTCCTAAATGTGTGTTCATATGATCCTTATAACCTCGAATGGATTTGAACATTTTCTGACAAACATCACAAGTTAAATCAGACTCATCAGTCGGACCAGCAACTGAAAAAACGAAAAAAAATGAAATCAGGTCTGCAGTTTTAAAACTACATAAATTTGGCTAATACAGATTTTTAGATAGGGAGACAGAATAAGATGATGGATACGAGAGTTGTGTGGGAAAATGACTAAAAAATGCAAATATCTGCATTTTGTTGTTTATATAAAATCACCCATCCTCAGAGAGAGAGAGAGAGAGAGAGAGAGAGAGATTAACATCCACTGAAACAACTAGGTCATTCGGAACTAACACCCAGTTCAATTTTATTTCAATAATTTGCTAGTGTAGTGGATCAATCCTCGGAAGAGTAGATCCATTTGACGTTATTTCTACTTCACGAAAATAACCAATATATGATTTGTTTCCACGCATTCCCAATTTCAAGAAATTGATATATTAATTAGGTTTATAACAGATTGTTCATCCTTTGAAATCATTTGAACTGACCTTGTCAAACAATCAACAGCCAAAATACAGTATTTGTAATATTTAATTATATTTAGCACATTTAAAACTTTAAGTTCCCAAGTCTGTCAAGTTTTCAAATGTATAGTCTAAAACCACCTTTGTCTATTGATATACAGTGTAACACATAAGCGAATCATCTAATCTCCTGATATCCTATTACCGGTAGGGTTTTTATCCAAAGTCATTCAAGGATCCATTATATAACATTCCAGGAAAACTCCATGTTGCTAACACCTTTGAATTTAATGGCGATGCTAGATGGGGTATTTAAAAAATTGCAGCTGTTTATATTTACTTGTAATCTTTAATCCAGGACATCTTTATCCATGACATACTCAAAATTGCCTGTTTTGACTGGAAATTTTTGAAAATGTTGGGGATCTTTTGTAATATACTCCCCGCCACAACTGGAATAAAGATTTGGATTTTGTGCTGGTACTTTGTGTACTCTTATAACTCTGTCTTATGCTTAGAAGTACAGTTTCCTTGCATTTCATATTATTAAAAGAACATTGAATCAAGCGTTATCACAAATAAAGAGAGATCCATTTTTAAAACATTTGTTAGCCCGGATATGTCGTTTGAAAGCAAATTCATGAGTAAAACTGGTGCCACAAATTTCACACATATGAGGTTTAATGTTGGCGTGTTTGTTTAAATGACCTTCTAGATTCTGTTTACTGGTGTACGATTTATCACACATTGAACAGCGATAGTGGTACGCCATCTTCCCGTCTTTCCCTTCAATTTTTGATCGGTAATATTGCCCATATATGGATGTCAGATCATCTGCAAGAAGTAAAAGGAGAAGTGTCGGATTTATATTCATCGAATTGGCAAAATTTCAGAGAGAAGGTGAGAAATGGGGTTGGATGTCCTTTTCAGAACAAACACATGTTTATATTTAATAATTTTCTTGTGCACATGTCTTTTAAATAGAACACCTTTACCAACCAATGATCAACATTGTATTTAGCTTTTCTTAAAACAAAGAAACAAATTGCCCTCGTGAAATGTGAAGTATAAAACAAAGAACTAACATTATGCACACATCAGTTCAAAATTCTCTTAAAAGTTTTGTGCCGCGTGTCAATGCATACAAAGAATTCACAAAGGCAGACAGAAATATGCCATGCAGTGTGCTAAGAGGAAATTTTTGCCTACTCTTAAGTTCTAAATGTCAATGTTTCTTTTACGTACATGTACATGCCAACATGTGCACGGGACCGCGGTTTTTATCCCATCCAATCAACTAGACAGCATTCTTCCTTTGTCAACACCAGGATTGAATAATAGACCTCCTGGTTAGTGAGCCAATGTGGCTCTCCTTTCAAACAAAACACCATTTATAAAAATAATGTAATTGTAAATTATTAGGTTTGTGTCTTTTTTCATAGATTGGACGGAGGGTGCAGAAATCAGTTCTTCCGAGGAATTTTCCATAATGACATAAATTTATTCAAGTCTCAGAGAAGGGAGGATAATTTTCTAAGAAATGATTTAATTAGCATAAAATCTTGTCTTCTGTCAATAATAGAAAATCAACCAACACCATAATCACGACTGTGTAAAAGGTACAGTCAGAACAGTACAGTCAGAAATTAAAAATGAAACAAAATAACACAAAGTAGCCTATTAAGACTTTACATAAGGAAGGTTTATATAATTATTTGAAGATGACTAGTCCTGATTTAAGAAACAACTTTAAGCATAAGATTTTCCAAACGTACATTGTAATGTACTGTTCCCCAGTACAATTTCTTGCTACAATAGTTCAAAAATAAATAATGAAAAGTTAATATATTAAAAGTATCAGTCAAATTAAGTTGTGAGTGTATGATGTGTTCACAATATAGTCTTGACTCTCGAGTGTCAAGTACCATTGTTAAGATAATAATAAACAAAGTCTTGATTATCAACTTTTAAATCAAATTATTAAATGGAGATTGTGTTTTGATCCTTGAAAATCTACTATCCGATGGTCTCGGGAGTTGATTATGGGCTTTTCACGTGAATTTTATGTCTAATTAACAAGTCATATAACAAATTGAGGCCAAAAGAAAGACCTGCAATAGGCAGATTTAGCTTTTGCATAATGCATCTTTTAATCATTGCACGACAACATGTTGGGTATTCTTTAATGCGATACCACACACAGCTAAATTTACAAACTGGTATACAGAAAAACTATATCTTTATTTATTTTTAGATGTTTTAAAGAATAATTATAATGTTTATTTCAGTAACATACATGTATGTGATTTAAATGGTTTTGAGACCTATTAATCAAAGGTAATCTAAAAATAAATTATGAAAAAGAGCCCAAACACTATAAACCAAACTAATATGAGATCTTTTCAACGTAACATGCATCAAACTGCACCATTTTTTTAAAATAATTTAGTGACCTACCAATAAGTTTACTAAAAGATACCAAACTACAAACCAAAATCTACCCATATTGGCATAACATTAACATTCTTAAATTAATGAGGTATTTTAGAAGGGTAAGAACCCCATACACATTTTCATGACTTCAAACTCTTAATATCCAGTGAAGTTGTACATGTACATCATGTACAGTACATGTATTTGTTGCCTTTAACTGTGAAAACCTGGAATGACAATTGTCACTCAAAGGATGTGCTCACATCACTCTCACATGTACAATATTGTTATATACATGCCTAAATGTCAAAAGTTTGTGTTCCTGTAATAATATATGCACTGTAACTTTAAAAGCTTAACTTTTTTTATTTTTTATTAAACTGTTTACAGGGCTTGTAAACTGAATATTCACCATGAATATTAAATGTTTATATCCAAATCTTAGAATGGAGATAATCAAATCCAGTCAAAGCAGGAGCTCATCTAAAACTACCCTTGTTTAATTTTTGATCAAACTATTGTATACCATACCAATTTAATTTCCTGGGCTCAGCTAACAGATTTTTACTTGCCTATTCCATATTTCTCTTACATCACATTTTCTGCCACAAAAATATGATACGGTGAAGGCGATGAATTTGGCTTAAGACAGAAAAGGTGTGTCCGTTAAATTTCATAAAAGAAAGTCAGGGTCAAAGATTGCAACCCAGAGAATAACCCTTATTTTTAGAGACTAGATTATGGACTGAAAGTTCTTTATTTTCTGTCAACCAGTCATAATAATATCTGGTACTTAGATTTATTGTTATATGAAAGGACTTTTCCAGTTTACAAGAATATGAAAATGTATTGTATTTGGCACAAATAACCCTTGTACATGTGTAAGTAAATTATCCATTTTAAAAAACTTAAATGGTGATATTTTGTAGCATGTTAATGTAAAGGTTGTCTTGTTATAAACCATTTCTTCATCTGTTAATACAGTTATAAATCTCTCTTGACAAAATCTTGAAAGTTATTAAAAACTGAATTCAATCATTCCTGGAAACCCAACACCATCATATACAATGTATCCCACTGTTCTAGCTGTTTCCACCCACTTGATCAGTTTAATTGTGACAAATGGACTACTATGCATGTACATGTACACCTGGCATCAATCTGATTAAAACACAGATCTTATTTATTTCGTTTCGTTTTTTATAGTTCAAACTTTCGTTTTATTTATCTGTACTACACTAGGATCTAAAAGAGTTGTTATATAACCTGTCTTCTGGATGATGTGCGGGATTAGCCAACGAAACCATCTGTTACGGCAACTTCTTGGCGTGCAATGCACAGAACTGTGGGTAAACCACTAGAAACGTCAACGCTGATTTTTTATTCAATGTCTGACGTCATAGGGTCAATAGTTGCTCGTACGACCTGACACGACCTTTCACTACAACCGGTCAGATCTTCATGTAGTAGAGGCCATTGAAAGTATTAAAAAACGAAACGAAATATAGATTTGTATTTTAATCAGATTGGTCTTGCGTTTGCTTTGTGAAACTGGACTGTGAGCTTAGTTTAATGGACCCCTGACCCTTAAAATGACTAGATCTCTTTCAGTTTGGTGATTTTATTGGAATCCATATGTTGATTTGTTTAGACCATAGACAAAGGCAGTGGTGAGATATAACCTTTATCTTTCGAAACAAAACTCTTAAGCATTAAGAGTTAAACCATTATTCAAAACAACACATTAAATCAACCCAAATTAATATTTTATTTTGATCTGATCTGGAAGTATATCAAAGAGGTTTAGTTCCTTTAAAGGCTCAATACCACTCTTGTTGTAACTGAATAATATGTCCCAATCTTTATTCTGGTCAACAAATTGTACTATTTTACAATATTCCAATTAATTGATGATACAAATTTCATCTTAACACACCTTATTTAAAAAATTGGAAAAATTCAACTAAATGAGTTGAAAAGCCTGACGTAAAGCTTTTCAAATGTGACTTGGATTTAAAAATATTTTTGAACCCTTTGGACAAGTAAAATAGGATTTAATGGATAATTTACACAACAGGTAGGACACTAACACATCTAGTACTTAGAATAAGGCTATTTTTTATTTTCTGGAGCTGTCAAGCCAGCAAGAGTGTTATTGTCCCTTTAAGTAGTTGTTAATTTTTACTGTGGGTTGGGAAATGAACCTTTTTCTTAATCTCCAGAGAATTAAACAATATGATATGAACAAGGAGTGCAAGGGCCCTGGTTACCCATCACCATTCATGAATATCGTATATGTCAATCAATAAACAATTCCTTCGAAATCACCTCAAATTTGAATCTTTGCTGCACTGACTGCGAAATAAGACACAGACATATGAAAAGATTGCCAATATATTTACAGACCATCTGTATGCAGTATACCTTGTATATTTCATATTATACAAGACACTTTCAACACCAAATGTAACCATTGTCTTACGCGACTGGGGAATCTAAAATGGTTAATGCCTGACTGATGGATGATAAACAGCACAACATACTTTACGCCCTTTAGCAAATAGGCTAAAAACGGTCTATTATTGAGATAACTTCAGATCACATGCGTTTTTAACAAATCTTCATAATACACATACATTTATGATGATTTTATGAATAGCTTAATGTCATGCTACATTAGGAAGATATTTTTGTATTAGAAAGATCTGTGTATGATTAGTTATTTTGTTTAGGATGTGGTTTTGTTTATTTCTTTAGATTAAGAAAAAGATTCTTGGTGAACATCATAACAAAACAAAAATAAAATACATATATCTTGAATTTTCACATGTTTCAAAATTATTCCATTTTTGACATTACCTAAATTTAATCATCTTGACATCATGTTATGAAGATATATCTTTGACTTTTGATTTATTCCTGTGTTTTTAACAGCAATTGTTTTCTGAATGTTTAGACAGGAATTTTATTATCAATGGTAATATAATCTTATATCTGACCTTTAACCCTTGAAACTATGTAAATATTCAAGATACACTATTATCAATAGAAGATGCCTTGTTTGAAATAAAACAGTTTTACATAATTATTGTTCCAAAAATCATTGTATTCCTGAAGCTATGGTAACTTATAAGCATTTAACTTACTACAGTGATGTTACTAATGAGTTATCTTCCCTTGGATCTGCAATACAGACATACTAGGAACAAGGTGGACTCTTTAACTAGAATGTCCCGACTTCAAAAGCTGGCGTGGACCCAGAAGAGTTTTCAGGATTTTTCACGCCCGGTTCTCATTCTGACAAGGAAAAGTCATTCGGAGAGTACGAAAACCTGTAGTCCGCTTGTCTACACACCTACACACATTGGCAGTTGGAGTTTGAAGACTATGCGGAAATGATACTGTCCAGACAAAATTACACCCTGTGTATTATACATGTAACTAAAGAAATGAAGTATTGTGTTGACAGCAAGTTAAACCTCATTCCATACAACCAGACTCATGTCACTTGTGTACACATTGTTAAGATTTATTAGTTGCTTTGAATGACAGATATGATACAGCTTTATAACTTCCTGTTTTACGGAGGGACTAGCCTAGTTTACTTATCACCTACAGGGTCATGTTTATCGATAAATAGTGGATCTTAATGCATCAATTCATTGTTCATTATGGAAGTGCATAATTACTACGGATGAAAATAAACATACGGCCGGGTCATGAGAAACAGACAGTTAATTAACTGCGGCCTGAGTAATATATAAAAGATATTGGTTTAATAGAAATACGAAATAAAATTCAAAGGACTGAATCGCCAAAGAAAACAATTGTTTCTATGACAATTTCTATCTAAATGTAGTTTATTTAATTACATGATAATGTTTATTACCATTGCTTCAGGAATATACAGATTCCTGTGAAATCTCTTCAAGAGAAAAGTTTGATATATTTAATGTAGGACTTCAGCTCATTAAACCCACAGTTTACCAGAATCTGATTTATTATTAAGTAAATACTGATTCAAAGTATAAACTATTTAAACATGTTTTTACATAGAAAACCAAACTGTCTGATCTAATTCTTATTAACTTGTGATGGCATACTGACAGTTGAAATCAGTAACCGTTAGTCAAGAACAAATCTATCAAAAACTAAAGTCCTACTCCTCAATAAGGCCAAACAAAAAAAAATATTCTGGTTCTCAGATAACACTGCATCATCAAAAATGGGCTGTGTCACATAAAAACAAAGTTAATAATTTCTGCTAGTTCATATTCCCTTCGATCAATGGTAGTAACTCTATTGAACGTTTCTTGGTAACAGGAAATGAAAAGTAGACTCAGCTATCAAGTACGTAACGATGGGAAACAATATTGACAATCACAAACAGCACTGGATAATTTAATGTTAATGTAAAGATGACATCAATTTTGCTGTCAATCTGTCTTTTATTATGATCAAAGTGCCTTATATTTTCCAGAGAAATATGACCAAGAGAGATGACCGAAAATATTCTCTGCTGTGGAGATTGATGGGTCAGACTTCAATTTAAATCACCAGTAAAACTAAATCCTGTTTTAACAATGAGTATGGTATCGATACCACGTAATGGTCGCCAAAATAAAAGTCTACGGTTTTGAAAACATTTTTCCAGGAGTTAATGTAGATATTTTCAAATTCTTACTTCTTTTTTGTTGTTCTTATTAAGAGTTGGATAAATATAAACTCTATAATTATTTTTTGTGTGTCTTAAAAATGAAAAACTAGCTAGATTTTGACAAAATCAAAAAAAAAAACCACCCTCCCAGATAAATTTTTTCAAAAGGATTGTCTGAGAACCAGAATATATTTTTTTTCTGTGGACTAAAATAGAAATTCTATATGTAGGTTTAAATTGATAGAGGAACCAAACAGAAAATATTTCTAAAGGGTTTCAAAATGATCTAGAAAATAAGTTTTTTGTTGCATTTTTATTGTCTTCTTACATTGTAATTTATGGTTTGTACAGATTAGTTTTCTTTATATTTTTTTAGGAATTTTCAGCATCATTTCAAGGAATTTTCAATGCCTAAGGATATTTGTAGCTGATCAATGACTTTTTTTTTATAGTTGTCTCCCTTTATCAACATTGAACAACCATCCATAGACCACCACTACTATCATTCTTAGTTCTTGCATACCCACCAAATTCTGTCACATTGAAATCATTTTTATATAATTTCATTTCAAGTTCTATTTCAAGACCACAAACCCTTTTCAAGGATCTGTACAACCCAAGTAATTATAAAAAAAAATATAAAATCTATCTCAGGTTTTCAGAATTGTGTCTGCTGATTTCAAATCAAGGCATCTTCATTGATATAGACATAAAATAAAACTTGACCTACCTGGGAAATTGGGGGACGCTGTAGATTGACTGCCTGAATGTTCACCCATCCATGGTGGTCTTAATCTTGGACTACCTCCAGGAATCATGGGGGAAAATTGAGGTTCAATATTTGAGTCATGAATAAAAGGTTTTTGATCTATTGAAGACGCTGATGATGTGGTATTATTATTAGCTGTAATATCAGGAATATTTAAAGCTGATGTCACTAAGGTGTGATTAGAATGTAAACTGATAGGAAACGCTGTAGAAAAGTCTATTGAATCTGTTTCTGAAAAATAAAATTGTAACAGTATGTACATATACACATAACTACATTATTTAGGAACTATTGCAAAAGAAAATAGAAGACCTAGGCTCATATTCCTAAAAAATTTAAAACAGGCATTATGCAAGAGCTAAATCTGCCTATTGCAGGTCTTTCTTCAGGCCTTAAATGTTATATAAATTATCAATAAGACATTAATTAACATGACAAGACCATAATCAACTCTCGAAGCTATCGGATGGCTCTGATTTTGAAGTAGATTAGAACTTAAAATGGATAATCAAGACTTTGTTTAATATCTTAACAACAGTAGTAATGAAAATCAAAGCTACACTGTTCAAACTGTGATAACGTGGCTCAGAGGGAAGTAATTGGGCTGCAATTTTCCTCATATTTTCTTTTCATTATCTATCTTTTAACTATTACATGTAAAGTGAGATATGTCAGCTTTTTATCTAATCTTACATAATGCCCCTTTAATAATGCAATCCTTTCATTGGCCAAGAGCTAGAATTTGTACTTTGATTTTTATTCTATTTTCTCAACCAATGAAAAGGCATTATCCTTATAATATTCTAATTTAAGTTGTTGTGAATAAGGCCCCTGGGATCATAACCTAGTCGTACATGTACCCGGTTTTAACATGTGAAATTCGTCAGGCAGCTAAATGTGACTTATTTCATAAGATCTCAGATCGATGCACATGTTAAAAAAAACCTAGCCCTAGCTATTTTAGTAGACAGTAATAACAGTCTAACAGGTCATTTATTTTCCAACTGGTCTCAATCCCTCCAGTCTTAATTTATCTCTGCTTCAACTACAACAAATATTGATCTGAAAACAGTTATAGCTGAAGGACAGGAAAAATGATCAACAAGTGGACTAAGACATGCCTGATACACCATTGAAGGATCGACCAGTTGCATACACGTTGGACGGAATCGTAATCAGATCAATTTCTGTTGCAAGCAGACAAACTGGGTTGAAGTGAACATTACTAGACTTGAACGATTTTCTTATTGGGTTGAAACTTACCAGTAGTGAAAGAAGTCGAGCCAGTTCTGGAAGAGGGATCATTGTTACCTCCTCCTCCATCCATATCACAACCTCCACTACTGCTACCACTTATAAATTCTTTTTTCACTTTTGTCAAATCAATTTCTATTGGACTTTTTTGCACTGAATTAGAAGTTTCCTGAGAATGTCTGCTACGTGAATTGGGTGAAAAGGGTGAACGATACGTGGAGGATTGTCTGGATTCACTATGACCTCCTGGGTCAGATAATCTGGGTATTTTAGGCTCTGGAGGATAATGTCCTTGGTGATCACGTTTCGTATTGTTTACGTCTGTGCTTTGTCTACGAGGGAAATCATCTCTAGATTGTGATCTCTGTAATCGAGGAGACATTTCATTAGTATTTTTCATACTCTGTTCTTTCTCCTTTTTTTTCACACCAACTTCTGCATGAAAACTATTACTTACAAACACTGTCGACGAGGATTCATTTCTACAAACTTTTTCGTTAACGATATAGTTTAATTTTGTACAACTGTCAACGTTTAAGTACAAGTGTCCGATAACTTCCACATTTTTATTAAAGTCAACGTTACTGTGACACAAAACTTGTAAATTCTTCACAACCGAGTTGATAAACTTCTGTGCTACTTCGTCATCCATTTTGAACCAATTTTAACTGTTGAAAATATCTACTCACTACAATACTGCAAGTAAAAATATAACAATATACATTGAAATGAAATAAAATGAAATGAAATGGGGTTTAACATCCTACTGTTTTGCTCCGAACTGGGCTAATGAAGACAGGCATACGCCATACAGTGTGCTATGAGGGAAATTTTGCCCGGACAGCGGCACTACGGCCTACTCTTATATCGAATTCCAGCTGTCAAGGGATCTTTTACATGCACACCAATGTGTACACGCGACCTTGGTTTCCATCTCATCCGAATGACTAGACAGCATCACTGACGGGGGGGGGGAAACCACGCCAGAAGACAGGCATACGCCATACAGTGTGCTATGAGGGAAATTTTGCCCGGACAGCGGCACTACGGCCTATTCTTATATCGAATGCCAACTGTCGAGGGATCTTTTACATGCATGCCAATGTGTACACGGGACCTCGGTTTTTTCTCAAATGAATGACTAGACAGCATCACTGACAAGGGGGGAAACCACACCAGAAAATCTGGGTGAACTTTCTCGGCCAATGCAGGGATCTAACACCCGACCTCCAGGCTAGCGAGCCAGCGTCTTACCCACTTAGCCACCGTGACCCCCCCCCCCAATGTAGATTGAGGTAGATGTATTATCATGTACATTTTAAAGTAATGTTGTAAACGTGACAAAGATTCTCTGTGGTCATAATGGACGTTTAGCTTACACATGCATGTGTTTATATGGGGGTATACATGTATGTAGGCCAGTCTATGTGCATTCCGTCCTCTTTGTAGTAATATTGGACTTCTCTGTTGTGTTTCATTTGTGATCGTAAATAAAACTACAGGTTAGTTTGTTTCAACAACTCTATTAAAACCGCTGGGCTTCGATGTTCATCGTTCTCAATAAAGTATAGATGATTACTGCTCGGAAAGTCTGGGTGAGCTTTGACGAATTTCGCTCATAGACTGACCTAGGCATTAATTTCCTTCCCAAACATGGAATAAACATCCCCATTCCCCAAAGACCAGAGGGAGAACATTACCTTATTTGGTCTATCAAACACATGTCATAAACAAGTTAGTATTTGATGGATACTTGGAGAAGGGTAAGGATTTTACCAAAACATCACTGTTTTGTAAATATATCACTCAATTTCATTTAAAGCGAGAATTTCATATTTTCTAAGAAAGTCAAAACATAATTATTTCTATGTCTTTTGCTCAATAGGTTATCAACTCACTATTATACGATCATAGGTGTCATTCTCACACTTAAAACTCATTTACACAGGAAATAACAACACAATTACCTCCCTTGTTTTCCTATTGAAAACAATGGTCAGCCATTTCCTCAACGTTGGAATTTGAAGTTGAAAATGATATTTTTGCCAATTTCTCAGCTGGCAATAGTGAATTATAGGATTAATAGGATTATTCTTTAACAAGATAGGACTGTTTATGGATACCATCTATTTTAAGGCTTTATTTTAAAAATTTTTAAAAATATAACTTAAAAATTTGAAATCTCCGCTTTAATATGTGTGATTTGACTCTATAGAAAGTATGAACCAAGTAATTAGTTAATAAGGACCATAGTATTATATCTTATCCTTTATATACTATAATACTTAGTGTATCTAGTTTACATGTATTTAACCTGTGTTTTACCGAAGTTGATGTTGCTGAGGAAAATTTGAGAAGTGATTGTTTGATATAAGAACCCTGTGGCTAGCAATCTGATTGAAAAACAGATCCTATTGCGTTTCGTTTTTTATAGTTCAAAATTTCGTTTTGACTTGTCTTTACTATACTTGGATCTGTACGACCCAACACGACCTTCGAGTACAACTTCATGTAGTGTAGGCCATCGAAAGTATAAAAAAACAAAATGAAATATAGATGTGTATTTTAATCAGATTGTTATGGCTAGTTACTGGGATGTGTAGAGAGAGACCCCATAACCCATTGTTGGCCTTTACGGCCATTGCAGGTCGGTACTGGGTTGAAAGAAGTAGGTGTTCGTTTTTCCTTCTGTAGAATAAATTTTTTTTACAATAGTAAGCAAGGGATGTTTTTTTTTTAATGAAGTTAAAGTGATTTGTATAATAAAGTGAGTAACCCCTCTTCAAATAAGGTCAAACTAATATTTTACTAAATACATGTACCACAGAAACACATTATTAGATAGAAACACATTATTACTAATTAGACAGAAACACATTATTAGACAATCTGTTTAGTGTTTTGAGTTAAGTTGCCAGGCAACAAAATATACACCCACACCGTAAGGATGTAACAGTTCAAAATGTTTGAACCTGTTAATTGGTTGTTAAAAACCCAACCGCGACCGGTTTACTGATTTATTTACATTTAATAAAAATAGTTTTATCAAACTAACTGTTGCACCATATACTCATATAGCATTTAAATTAATCATCAGTACAAATTCCATTGATATTTCATTTCTCCATCTTACACTGTACTTTGATGGGTCAAGCTACATGTATAGGTCACGCTGTACTTTGACAGGTCACATACAGACCAGATGAAACCAGGTGGATTTTAAAATAAGCCCACCAGAATCTTTATAAGATTGGTTATGCCATAAATATTTGAAAGCACACCTTTGCATTTTTAAATACAAAATAAATTTGATTTTTTAACATGTCAGCTATTTCCAAAGAATTTGGTACATGTTTGTTTCACAATCCATGCTGTATGGTACCAGTGACCATGGAGCTGGAGTGATAGTATAAACAAATTAACTGTCCTGTCTATTTTAATAGTATTGCATCACATCAAACTGTTTTGTTTCCTTTTGAGATTTTGTTTATTGAGTGACCAGGTTAATAAATAAAGTAAAACCTCATGCTTGGCAGCCAGTGCTAATAACTATACAAAACTTTGTCAGATATATAATGATATGGAGAGAGAGAAAGAAATAGGGTTTAACGACCACTCGACACAAACTAGGTCATTTCGGGACTAACTCATGGTTTAATTTTATTTTAATAATTCGCTTGCGCTTAGGGGTCTTTGTCAGTGGGAGGAAACCGGAGGACCCGGAGAAAACCCTACTCCATGGCATGTACAGCCGGGGATTCGAAACCACGCCAGTTGACTCAATGACAGGCTTTATGATACAGCGCGTAGGGGTGATGATTTTCCGTTTCAGAAAATAGCAAATTCCGTTTTAAGTATTTTTAATTCCGTTATTTTCCGTTTCAGAGCTGACCATATTCCGTTTTTTCGAGATAAAATGTTATTTTATGAATAAATGAATAAAACATCTTAAAATGCCTTTTATTACAAAACGGATCATTTTAAACCAATGATAACAAATGTTGAATTGTGAATGACTTGTAATGTTCAATGACTAGTTATTCTTTAAACCTGTTTCCCGAATTAAATAACAGAAAATTACATCTTGTGAGCTCGTTTCATCTTTTTAGCTGACAAAGCCATTTTTCTCAGCTGCTAGTTGTAGTCGCGATTTATCCAGACATCTTTGTAGTTACTACCGTTTCTTCGAGAAAAAGGACTGGATTCACAAGGCTACGGTATATTTCTGATGTCACGTGGTTAATGCGGATAAACACGAGTCACAAGCCCGGCAGTAAAATAAGAAGTAAATGAAACGATTTTTACTTTTATGAAGTGACAGAAGTTTTTTTTAAGACATATATACTATTCAAAAAAAGTAGGGGATATTTGATTTTGGGGGCATAATACTAAAATATGCAAATGACTACGAAAAAAATCACTATAGAACCTAACAGAAGAAACATTTCCAGTTACATGTGACGCCCAAACGCACCAATAGCTACCGCATGGAATGCAGGTGATGCTTTGGATCATCGTGGGGGTCCAACCCAAGATTTGCACGACTCTGACTTTGAATGTTACAGTCATTGTGGCATTGAATTCCAGGGTGGAAACATCAGTTTAATTGTTTTAGTGACCAGAAAACAAATTTTGATATGCGTCGGCTTACCCAAAATGAAAGGTTACGTGCCCTTGGCATGCTACAGATCGGCCCAACACAGGCGGTTGTGGCGCGGACGATGAATGTTTCTCAGTCTGTCATAAGCAGGCTATGGTCCAGATACCGTGATACACAATCTGTACAGGACAGACCACGCTCAGGTAGACCAAGGGCGACAACTCAAGCCCAGGATCGATTTATCCGTACCTTGGCCTTGAGAAATCGTGTCATCACAGCAAATCAGATCAGCGCTCGTCTTCAAACAGACACTGGTGTGAGAGTGAGTGGCCAGACGATTCGGAATCGACTGCATAGGGGTCACCTTCGCGCCCGACGTCCTCGCGTGATCCCTTGTTTGAGAGATCATCACATTCAGACAAGACGTCGTTGGTGTAGGGATCGTCAACACTGGGATAATCGACGCTGGAGCAATGTGATGTTTTCAGATGAGTCAAGGTTCACTGTTGATTTTTTGGACAGACGTAGGAGGGTGTGGCGTCGTCGAAACGAGCGCTTCCAAGACGTTAACGTCATCAGACATGATCGATTTGGGGGTGGTTCTGTTATGGTGTGGGGAGGCATCACTGTTGCTGGAAGAACGGCTTTACATGTTGTTGCAGGGCGTGTTACAGGCCAGTACTACCGGGACAACATCTTGGCAGTCCATCTTGTGCCGTTCGCACGACGTCATGGCCGCCGTTTCATCTTCCAGGATGACAACGCAAGATGTCACAGGGCCAGGATCGTTACAGGTTACCTCCAACAACAGAACATCACCACATTACCTTGGCCAGCACTGAGTCCCGACCTCTCCCCCATCGAGCATGTCTGGGACATGCTTGGACAGAGGTTACGTCAACGTCAACAACGTCCTGCCAATGTCCAAGAACTTGCTGCTGCGTTGCAACAGGAATGGGACAATCTGGACCAAAATGACCTTAGATGTCTCATTAGGAGTATGCCACGTTGGATCAATGCTTGTTTGGCAAACAGAGGAGGATTTACCCGTTACTGACTTGGTTGTGATGCTGTGGTAACTTTGCTGTTTGACCCCGGATATCATTTTACCCTTATAATGGTCAGTCGGTGCCTTACTTAGTCTAACGATCATTTGGAATAAATCGATGAATGTGAACTTCATTTCATTTTGTCATTTGTTTCTTCGTCAGTTTCATTAGGTGACTTTAATAACACTTAAAAATCAAATATCCCCTACTTTTTTTGAATAGTATATATACATTACAATGTTTAATTCAAGTTAAACTACAGAGTAATTTTATACAGGGATACATGAAAGACAGGTTTTCGTTTCGATTAAAATTATGATTCCTAAATGATGAAATGAAAGTAGCTAAATACTAAAATAGACAGTAACAAAACCACGCGATATCATTCAATATTTCCGATTTTTATGAATAAAAAGATGAAATACTTGGATAACTGCAAAATTGTTTTGAGTTTGTGTTTAGTATCAGCAAATATCGGCTTTTCCGTCTTTTTCCGTATGAGATTTCAAATTCCGTTTTGAGTGGACAATTCCGCGATTTCCGCGATCACGGAAAATCATCACCCCTAAGCGCGCACATGCTAACCATTCGGCCATCCACACCCCCCCCCCCCATGATATGGAAACGAATATCATTTAATAATTTTGAACCGGTTCACCAGTGCAAATGAAACGTGACCAGTTAACCGATTACATCTTTAGTCATCAGTGCAGTTAATAGCAGTTGTCATAGTTTTATTCTTTCGGAAGGAATTGGAGCTTTTCAAAGACATGTAAAACTGAAAGACCGTAACAAACCATAAAGTATTTATTAGAAATAATTAAAATATATTAAGTTTCTAGTCTTTAGTACAGTTAACATTTATCATACAAAACATTAACTGGTAGAGGTAATCGGAAAATAGTATAGCTGTTCAACTAGTCATGCGGTTAATTGAAATGCTGCTGTTAGGGGTTTCAGGTCATGTGACTTTAGCATGAAATCAAGACATTCTGCTGCTGACATTCAGCCCACTTTCAATTTACGATTTTGAATTACTATTTCATTTAAATGTATTATTAGTGATTGTATTGTAATACTTTAATACCAATCTCAATATCTGAAAAGATTCTGACTCAAGAATTATCAAAATGTAAGCAAAATTACAGGTTATGTGCTGGAGACACTCACGGGAAAATACCACCCTGACGTCGCATGGCCAGGGATTTTCCATCAACGAGATTTGCTACAGCTCACTTCATTGGTGAATCTGCACCTTAGTTTTTGTGGGATTCTAACATTAGGCCAGCCAAACTATAGATAACATTTTTGTGATTATTATGGTGCATGATACTACGGTAAAAAGATTATAAATATTTAATATATCCTCATTCAAGTTTTTTTAAGATTTTTATAAATTTTACCTGCCGATAACATACGGATTTCAGTTTTAAAATTGGTGAGGGCAATGCTGAAGAGGAAATACCACTTATGATGTCACTCAGACTCAGATATGACTTGGCACGCACTGACAGAGCATTTTGATTACATTATTGAAATATGGAAATAAAATTGAACCATATGTTAGTCCCGAAATGACCTAGTTTGTGTCGAGTGGACATAAAACCCAATTTCTCTCTCTCTCACATTATTGACTTCGGTCTCAGATTTTAAAATTTAATAACTTTGGATCTAATTAGAATATTTTAATGAAATAAAGTTTTTTGGGGTAGTATTTTATGCATATTTTCACAAATCTAAAACATTGACCTGAAATGGTTCTACTACTGATGTCTTCCATCTTGCTCCAGCCACTGTAGTGAACCATTCTAAGGTCTTCCTTTTTGTAGCCATTTGACTACAAAGATGTTACTGGCCTATAACTCTCTTAATTTCCAATTACACTGACCCCAAACTGTACTGCACATAGCTTAACATATAATTAATCAATTCCCATTGAAATAAAGGTGAAACCTTAACACATAATTATATGATTTGATTAGACCCAAATGCTATGCGAAATTTCTGTTAATTTTAAGTTGCTGCCGAACCAGAATCTCATGATTTTATGTCACTCGAAAATACAGAAATGAAATGAAATGGGGTTTAACGTCCTACTGTTCTGCTCCTAAACTGGGCTAATAAAGATAGGCATACGCCATACAGTGTGCTATGAGGGAAATTTTGCCCAGGCAGCGGTGCTATGGCCTACTCTTGTATCGAATTCAAACTGCCAAGGGATCTCTTACGTACACGCCAATATGTACACGGGTCCTCGGTTTTTCGGCCTATCCGAACGACTAGACTGCTGTCCTTGTCAGGCCCTCCGTCCTGCATCACTGACAAGGGGAAACGATGCCGGAAAATCTGGATGGACTTTCTCGGCCAACCCAGGGATCGAACACCCGACCTCCAGGCTAGCGAGCCAGCGTCTTACCCATTACCAACTTAGCCACGTGATCCCCCTCGAAAATACAGAAAACTGTTTGGTAAGATCAGATTAAGATTTCAGTGCTCCACTCTTCACTATTTGTAACATAAATACTTATTTCCATGCAAACTGTGATGTGTTGAAACTGTTTGGTAAGATCAGATTAAGATTTCAGTGCTCCACTCTTCACTATTTGTAACATAAATACTTATTTCCATGCAAACTGTGATGTGTTGAAAATTTGTAGCCGCGGATAAGGCAGCACGCTGGTACAATATTGTACTATTGCAGTATTGTACCTACTGAAACCCCTACAGTACTACTCACTAACTCAGTGTCGTCTAAGAAAAAAGCTCCTCACACTGCACGTAACAAAAACAATAAACCCAAGAGCAAATAAACTAAGTACACCACAGTGTCGGAGACAAGAGTCGACACTTTACGTCAATCAGTCCTGATTCACTTTGTAGTGATTGCATTTCAGTGAAACGTTCATTATTTTGACAATTTAGTCAATCCGTAATTTTTGCATGCAGAAAAATTTTCTGACATCTAACCCCTAATCGCCTTCAAAAATGCAAGATATCATAGAATGCTTCTTTGCCTAAGTTACTAGAGTTGACTTTACTTACTTATGCAGTATTTTAACTATAAATTTGACAACATTTAACGTGGTATCATCGGCAAAGAGCCCGTTGTCGTGTTTCCGCCTTTGTTCAGGTTCACGCGCGTCACTTCCGGTTAATACAATAATAATTTCGGATCGGTTTCAGAATAGGGCCAGTTACTGATGGGGTGTTGGTGTTATGAGGCCGTTCCGCGTTCCGTTATTGAATGAACTTTTAAACCAAAATTCTGTTTTCAGCATAGAAACGCTAGGACAGAGAGTATTGTGTTATAAGTCCTTCCTGTACCGTCTGAAAGAAAAAGAGCAAAATGTGTGAGGTGTTTAAAAATGTAGTTGTCTCCCTTTAACCATGCCGCGCTGGGCCTACGCGTCCTGAATTTTTAGTAAAGCAGGAAAAACGTCGCTGCAGTTAGGTTCGGTTCCTTCTGGAAGGGTTCCGACTGAAACCGCATTAGATGTAGCACATAAAAACTATTTCATAACAGCTGAGAACTGATTTATCATTTTTGCTGTTACTTTTATTTCTGTTGTTCATTATTAAACACATGGAAGCTAGATAACATGCATATTCAATCACTTGAATATCGCATTGTTGTATAGTGTGCATATCTACCAATATTTGCAAAAATGACAATGCTAAATTCGCCCTAAACAAATATATAAGACGGTTGCCAGCCAAATTAGTCAAACCGCTGCGGTAAAAATACGTCCGTTGGCAACGTTTTGTTTGACCGAAGCCGTGTTTTAACTATCACCTAACTAAATCCTAAACAGCATTAGACAGTGTAACAAATATGAAATGAGCAGGATCTTGTGAGCGATAAACGGGGTGTGAAGTGTCAAACTTAGAAAGTGACCTACCTTTCTGCACTAAACGAGGTAATTAAGATGGACATACACCTTGCACTATGTGCTATGAGGGACATTTTGCCCGGACAGTAGCGTTTTGGTCTACTTGCCAAGGATTCTTAACCGATCCATATTTTTCTAATGATAACACCACTGTCTGACATGGAAATGAAACGAAATGGGGTTAATGAACGTCCTACTGTTCTGCTCCCATACTGGGCTAAGTGAAGACCGACTACGCCATACAGTGTGCTATGAGGGAACTTTTTCCCGGACATACTTTTAAGTCTAATTTCGACTGCCAAAGGTTATTTTACATGTACGCCAATGTGTAGACGGGACCGATGGATGGGGTTTTCGTCCAATCTGAACGATCATACGTTGTCCCGGCATCACTGACGAGGGGAACCACTTCTCGGCCAACGCCGGGATCGAATACGGGACCCCCCAGTTAGCGAGTCATCGCAGCTCCCTAGAATTGGCAAACTGCAGCGTTGATGTTTCAACTTGAAAATGATATATTTGTTAATTTCTCAACTGACAAATTTAATTATGTTATCAATAAGATAAATGTTCAACAAGTTGGGACTATGTATAGATCCCATGTGTTTTGAGGATTTTTTTACTATATTTTTAACATGTGACGTAAAAAAAAAGGTCAATTTGGTACACTCGTCGAAACATGATATGATCTCTGGGTGAAATCCTATTCATCAGGCCCGCCGAGGGAATTATTATGTGTCTGGACAAGACAAATTTGCGCAACAGTTTAAGATCATCTCAGTGGTTTGTAGATTACAATTTGTATTCAGTGAGTACTGGTCTAACAGTTCAAAAGCAACTCAATAGTTCGTAGATAAATCTTTATTCGGCGAGTACAGGTATAGCAGTTTAAAATCAACTCAATAGTTCTTAGATTAGTCCAGGGGCGGATTGGGGGCGGGAACCGGCCCGGGTTGCCGTGTCGGAGCGGCCACTTTTACTGACCGTGGTGCCCGGACGGGGGGTCCCCGGGGAAAATTTTATATCTGATTATAACCTCTGTCAAATATCTCATAAATCGACTAATTTAGGCCAAAACCCCGACCTGCAAGTAATTTACAACCATCAACCTGTGAAATTATCATATCGTCATATTATTAACTAACATATTATCATTGTATCGTCAAGAGTCAAGAGTATTTAACTGGTTAAAAGTGGGACTAGTTGAGAAAATTTTGACCATTTGATTAACCAGTTATGAATATTGAATAACAGGTGGCCTTGACGGAGTGGGAGCGGACATGCATAGGCGTACGGGACAAAATTCATTTTTGAATTTTTGGAAATGGGAGGCCATTTCCCGCAATTTGAGACCATTCCCGTTCCCAATTCTGTAATTTCATCTCATAAAATAACGAGTTAATATTCAGCCAGCAGACCAGCTATCATCAAATTTTGCTGAGGCCTTAAAATTGAATATTTTTGTAGTTACGAACCATCGGCAGACGTTTCTGGCATATCCCCACAAACAGGGTGCAGGTGACTTAATAATAAGTAAATTTGCGGGCGACAGTGTCGGGTGAATCCGTAGAAATTTTCGGATGAAATTCGGAATCCCCATTGAAGGATTCCGAATTCCGGCCCACACCCAGCACACCCGACCCAGAAAGTCTATTATACCAGCCCATTCCAGACTCCAGGGATGGCCACCGGCCACATACAACATGATCATCATCGCTCCATGGCCGGTCCAATACCCACCCTCCCCCCATATAATGTTCAGCAGAAAAGGTTTTTTTAGACGAATTGGACAAAAATATTTTTTTCATTTTTTGTCCGACCGGTCCAATCCGCCCCTGGATTAGTCTTTTTCGCCGAGTACTGGTTTAACAGTAGTTAACAGATTAATCTGTAATAAACACAAAAATATTACGTGTTTAAAGCATGATGATGCTTGAAAACGCTGAGAGAATCCTTAATGAAACGTCGCTTTAATTAAATAGTAATTGTCTTCCATGTAAAGTTTTTGTGTCAATTGCTAAATGCCACTCAAAGAAGAGATTAATCTGTATTCAGTGAGTGGTAATATAACAGTTTAAAATCCAATCTAGTTAGTAGATTAATCTGTATTCAGTGAAGTACTAGTATAACAGTTTAAAGTCAAATCTAGTTTTTGGACCAATCTGTATTCAGGGAGTACTATTATAACAGTTTAAAATCAACTCAATTTGGTTAATGGATTAGTAGATCAATCTGTATTCAGTGAGTACAAGTATAACAGTTTAAAATCAACTCGGTATCAATCTGTATTCAGTGAGTATTAGTATAACAGTTTTTGACACCCCCCCCCCCCCCCCAACTCACACACACACACACCTATGCAGTGACTTTGCAAAATATAGGATTTCCAAGTTTCCCCTTGCATTCAGTGGCGGCGATAGCCGCCGGTGGTTGGAGGGGCAAAGCTGGGCCAAAGTCAAAGGTTAAGGGGGTAAAGGCACGAGCTTCAACTAGGGATGTGTGTGGGGGGGGGGGCTATCCCAGAAATATTTGAAAATCAGGCTGCCGGAAATGCAGTTTGGCAGTATTTTAGGGACTGAACCTTGAGATAAAGTGCTAAACGAACGGACTTGTGAACCTCGACAAAGCCCACTCAGGAGCGCCAAAGTAAGGAGTCCTTACAGAGAGTATGGGTGACCTCCCCGAGACAAATTTGAAAAATAGACTGCTGGAAATGCTGTCTGACATTATTCAGGCACCGTCTGTCGCCTGATCAATGGTTTATCTGACCATAGAAGAAAGTGTCAAACGAACGGACATGCGAACGTCAACGAAGCCCCCTCATGAGCTCGAAAGTAGCGAGTGCTTACGGAGGGTATTGGGGACCTCCCCAAGAAAATTTTGAAAAATAGACTGCCAGAAATGCCGTCTTACAGTATCCAGACACCGATTGTCGAGATAAATAGAGCTGATCAGATGTCGCCTGTTCACTAGTTTATTCGACCTAAGAGAGAACATTGTCAAACGAACACGAAGCCCCCGGAAGTGCAGTCTGGTAGCATCGCAGGCACTGATCTGGTCGTCGAGATAAATAGAGCTTACCAGATACGATCTATCGCCAAATCACTAGTATATCCGACCAGAGAGGAAAATGTCAAATGTCGTCGAGATAAATAGAGCTGACCAGATACTGTTCGTCGCCTAACAGTGAGGGAGGTGTCAAATGAACGGAGTTGAACCTATACACAAAAACTTTGAGGATCGTAAAAAGCTTTTCCCAAGTTGTTCATCTGTTATTGTTTATAGTAGTAGGTTTACAACAGGATGGGCTTGGTAAGAAATCACTCAGACTCTACAACGTGCAAGTCTATGATTGAGTGGGAATGTGGGATTTAATCACCGTAGAAGGTATTGATTACCGAAACATATCACAAATACTAATTTTTATTTTCTAAAATTATTGCGGGGGGGGGGGGGGGGCTTTGCAGGACGAATACCAGTCATGTCGAACAAAAAATAGATATGTATGGCACCCCTAGGATTTCATGGGCCCTGAGCGATGTACCGACTGTACGATTCCCAGTTTGGCTCGGTACCTTAGTTATACAATCTGTGATTTAAACCTCGATATTTATTTGGCTGAAATATATTTACATTACATACAACACATTACTCAGATAAACCTAGTAATAACAGAAGTTTTAAATAAATGACATGCCGTCGTGAGTACCAAATCAAAGATTTATACTAATAATATACAGTGGGTTGGCAAGAAACAAGTGAGAAATGAACATATAAATGAAAGAGAGAGAAATGGGGTTTAACGTCCGCTCGACACAACTTAGGTCATTTCGGGACCAACATACGGTTTAATTTTTTTTATTTCAATAATGCGCCTGCGCGTAGGGGTCTTTAGCAGTGGGGGGGGGGACCCGGAGGAAACCCACGAAGTTGGACAGGCGACCCTACTCCTTGTCGAAAACATAAATGAAGGAACTGGATAAATCAATATATTATACAATAGGTACCACATGAAAACGGTTTATTTAAACGTAATGAGCATTACAAAAATGTGGTTTATATGTGTATTAAAATGTGGTGTATTACGAGGCGTGATTTATATGCGTATTAAACATAATGTGGGTTACGAGGTGTGGTTTATGTATGTACTATTGACCGTAATGTGTATTACAATTCGCCGTTTATATTATGTATATTAACCGTAATGTGTATTACGAGGCGTGGTTTATACGTGTATTGACCGTAATGTGTATTAC